GCTCTGTTTCTGTGAGGTTATTCTAGTCAAACCGGTTGGAATTGAATGGGACATGTGTTTGAATTGAACTCCAGTAAATGGGTTGAAAAAATTGCCCCCAAAAAAGATATGTTACGTTTCAACAAATACGCAGAGAAAACTGAATAAGAGCTGCCTGCGAGTGTTCACTATACTAATGTTAGGCTGAGGGTGTCATAAATGATTTAGGTTTCTTTGATTCATAAGTGCTACGAGAGACTGTATATTAAAATTCCGTCTGAGAGCAATAGTAGGTTGTTTTGGCACAATGGTTTAGTCGCTGTCACTGGATCCTTTGGTCTGAGGTTCTAACCCCGCTATTACCACCTAACTTTGATGGTAGACAGCTTTGCAGTCGTCCGGATCATTACTAAGTCTAACCTCGCTGGGTCTTATGCAGTTCTCAACCCAAAGTCCCGCAGGACTTAGATTGCCGATTACCATCACTGAACACCAGGTCCTAGTGACTATGAGGCTTTCATCGTCTGTTTTGTATTGAAAAAATATAATAATAATTATAGCATAATGTCACAGCTTCTGGAATTAGCTCACTTTTCTCACTTCCCAATGTATGCTATATGGCAGGAGATTGACTGTAAGCTGCATTTGCTGGAAATGCGTTGAAATAGACCACAACAACACCTAATCTCAATTTTTTTCTGATAGTCGGTAAGCACGAAACAGATTAAGGCCTTCACTTTAAACCGATTTTTTCCCGTCATTCATTTAGAACGAAGTCTTATCCCACAGTTGGAGTACGTCGTACTGCTCGGCCGCCGGGTGTCTCCTTTTAAATATGTACAGCCCATCTTTTGCGAGCTTAGTGGCGAGCATTAGAACCCGCTCACCCCAGCACTAGCCTCCCAGACTATAAGTCGGTTGGAAACTTTCACGACCTGACGATTTGTTATACGTGAGGAATGAAGGATTTGATTTAAATGAGATGTGAGCTAAAATATGCTAAGAAGCACTGGTCAGCTGTTTCGACCTGGTTGAGTCTCATCAGAAGTACAAATCCATTAACGACTCAACTAGGGAGCAGAAGCATTCTACGCTTTGGACCCATGAGCAGCTCACTAGACCGTCTATCATGTTCTCCTAACAAAATATAGCATAATACATTTGGGTGAGCTATGGACATTTGCGATTAATGCCTGATTCACTCGGAAACACAATCCATCGAAGCCAAATTCCCTGCACCACTTCTCTGTTCGATTCAGGGCTCATGGTAGTCACCCACCTTCTGTGATCTCCAGGTTAGAATTTCAAGCTTGTAACTGTTGCATGTAGGTGAATTCGAATAAATAGCCCGGTCAACGTTCAAGCGGGCGCGGTGGTCTACAGTTCAATCAAGAGTTCGACCGGCAGATTCACTGATAGCTAACAAATGTGAAAAGGCAGCAAAATGCTTCCAAATTGGACTTGGACAGTTTTATTTTATCTCAGCTTGGCACACTGGTTTCGTGTGGATTAAAGCTACAAATAGGGAAAACGTTTTCACTGAATTCGCTCCCAGACTCGCTCTCCGAAGTCCACACGTACTAACATGTGTTGTACGTGTGCACACACACACACACACACACACACACACACACACGGAATGTTCTTGTTTTCACTCATCCAAATTCGTGTCCTCGTGTACACACACTCACTTTGCACGACAGTACATTGCAAAACAGATCACTTCTTTTGATGGGTGCAGTGCTGAACAATATCTTCCTTATCACTCATTACCCAATCGATCCGTGTACACGGAGCAGGACATTCATGAAGGGAAAGAAATGGCCGGCTTCTGGAGGTGCGGGTGAATTGACTATATTGAAAACTACAGTATTGATAATGTTGACCTCGATTACAGATCCTCATCACATTCCACCTGTATCGGATGGGAAATCTTTGCCTAGGTGTGCGTCATACGAGAGTAGTGTGTGTGTGTGACGGGGTGGGTGGGTGACAGAAAATTGGGAAAATGAGGTTTGTGGAGTGAAAAAAAACGTGGAAAATCACAAAGTGGATTTGTGAAAACGATACGGCATCATGAAATTTCAGACACACATATATGAAGCTTGAACCGAACACGGTCATTATTCAATTGAATTCAAATGTGGAAGTGCTAGTTTCTTCGTTAATTGGAACTCTATAGAATCTAATTAGAGATGTATCCATGTGGGATATCAATTATTTGTTTGACATGATAAGCAAGCCAAGTGGGGAATAATGAATGTTTTATCCATGGTCCTATTTCCTCCAAATTCGATCACACATTTTTACAGGGATAAGTAATCGGTATAATAAAATCATCGTTGACCAGGGAAACTGGTGCGTTCGATCATGTGACGAAAATCGTCTCAATTTTGGTTTCGGTCTCACACCTCAAATGCACAGTTAGGGATGGGGGCGAGTGTCTGCGCAAACAGGAAAACAACCCGGAAGAAAAAATGTAAAGAAGGGAATACATGAGGATCTGGTATGATAGATATGGTAGCTAGCTGCAAACCTTCAAGACGTTACATTCTTCTCTCGTCTATTCACCTCTGCTCTCTGATACGGCAGCTATGAACAAGGAATGCAACTCTTCCGCTAACTTCCTAGTTTCTTCCTATCTCGCTGACATTTTTTTTTATTTGGGACTTTCACTGCTGTATTCGTCGTTACACCGGTATTACCTGTCTCATATACGTTACAAATGGAATTCGTGTATACACCAAATGACAGCTGTTTCGACCTGATTGGGTCTCTTCAGCAGTGCGAATCGATCATACACATTAAACTCAAACACGGAGATTTTTTTCATTTGAAGTAATGTCCGGTGAATAGAAAGATAGTTATTTTAATTCCATCCGGATGTATGTTTGATAACCAGTCCTAGTTTGAATCAAAAGCTTACCATGAACATTGTACAACTCAGTACATGCGGTGCTCTGATTCTAACCTAGACAATAACTTGTACATGCCCAATCGCCAATCAGTGAATGATTGAATCAATCAGTTAGTCACTCCGTCAGTCAGTCAGTCAGTCAGTCAGCTGCAGTCAGGTAGGCAGGCAGGCAGGCAGGCTGACAGACAGACAATGATAAACTAGTGAATACATCATTTCAGTCGTTTCAGTAGCAAAACATGATGTCATGATATTAAAGAGAAATTCATTTCAGCACCATTAAACCAATTGGTCTGACAAATGGTTGTTGGTTTGCTGTTCAATTATATATCCAAATAGTATCAGTTGATAGGTACTGGGAAGGCATGTTTTATAGTGTGAAAAGATCGCATTGAATGCGCAAAATTACAGATAAGTTTCATTCGTCTAGTGAAATCTGTAATAGATGCCAGATCAGTAAATTTATTCATTTATGAAATGCGCACCAAATGAGGTTGTTTAAATTTGAAATCCATGGTAAAACTGTTCATCATGTTCCTCTCTCAGATATGATGGGTAAATCACTTCGTGGAATAAAATTTCATTGATTTCAACTCTGATGTACTCTCCTCGTCTTCTCTAGAAAGTCATTTTGATCCCATTAGGCCTGCAGAGGTTACTGTAAACAAGCCTGCGTATTATTCATTAGTCTCCTTTTTGAAATATCCTCTTCATTCTTTATGTGACCGTTCAACGTACCTGTATCCCGAAAACTCTGTTCAAACCCAATCACGCGCGAATACACACACACGCACGTCCAGGAACACGCGTCTATACTGGCTCAAGCTTCACCCTCCAGTGGTATGAAAGTGGACCAAATGCCAGACTTGGACGGACTGGAACGTCGCTATTGGCTCATTCATCATACAGTCGAGGAGCGTTGGGCTCAAATCAATGCACAAAAGCACTACCATCAACTGTTACGGTAAATATCACTCCTATTCTTTCCATTTCGATATCATAAAACATTGACATTCATTACTAAACAGTAAGTGTGACTTGATTCGAAACCCGTATTTACTTAGAAAGCCAACTGACGTACTGGAAGAGAAAAAGAGAGAGCAGAGTTCCACCAATTGGAATGCTCGCCTGTGGGAGGTCTCAGAGTAATTGGGGTGAATTATCAAATATTTCAATTAGTTTGACATTTTTTGCGGGATCAATCAATTGATCCTTTTCTAAGGAATCATGTCACAGTGTGGTTGTTCTGGTTTGCAGGGAGCAGATAGAGCAGGTACTGAAAACCTGTGAAACATTGTACAGCTGTTCAAAGTCTATGGTTTTCCGTAGCATAAACGATTGTTGTATAAATAATACAGTCGTTGTAGAGTGAAGAGTTCGCTATCATATACTACTCACATTTGTGAGTAGTTTGTGCACACTAAGAAGCAATTTTTGGATTCCCACGGAATCCGCGAGTGGATGAAAAGGATTGAATGTTACAAAAACAGAAAACAAAAACAATGTTTTCGGTTTGTGGTCGCCAATGAAGAGACAATCACGAAAATACTAATCAACTGTTGCAAATTAAATGTGTCGTTCTTTGTTATCATTGTTTGCCCTCACCGATGCTATTCTTTAAATAATTATCCTCGTAACGGCACCGTTTAATTGAATAATAACACTAGGTTGCATATAGACGCGTTATGGCACAACTTATTCAATGCCCTTAGGCAGTTTAGACCAATCCTGTGATCTGCATTTTTTTCAGTCTGTGTGCATGTGTGTGTGCGCGTGCGTGCGTGCGTAGGTGCGTAGATATGCGATCGAGGCAGTAGACTTCACTGAGTTTTACACCGTAACGAATTCCAGTGAACCTGCTGTAACGTAAAATGACTTCACCAATCACGTTTAACTGGATAACCCACAAATCACAACTGATAAAACAGTTCAAACCGATCAATTTCACGAATCGGCTCTCATGCATGAGTGCCATATTTTTCTCATCAATGGGAGTATTTTTTTAGAAAACAGCAAAACTGTTGTGGGTTTCGGATTCGGTCCCAATTTGGTACTCGATAGATAGACAAAGGGCCAAATGATGCGTAAATTTTCCCCGGGCTGATTGATTGGAAATTTCAAATTTCGTGCTATTTTGTGCTTGTGTGTGTGTGTGTGTGTGCGTGCATGCGTGCGTGCGTGCGTGCGTGCGTGCGTGTGCATATTTGTCCACGAGTATCGTCACTTTTACGTGTGTGTGTGTGTGTTGAACAACTGAATCTGCCCTCTAATTAACAAATTGCCGTTCAATCATATAATGATTGGTCACTTCTCTCGAGCCGAATTCAATACGTTTTAGTAGGGCCAAAAGGCGTCATTTACCAAACCACAGCAGACGTGATTTCGGTGGTTCTAATCTCCTAATTTTTGGCTAGCGCAGGTGAGTTGGTTGGAATCTACTAATCACAAATCAAAACGACATGGGGTAATTTTTATTTAGTCACTAGAACAATATGTCTTCATCTATTTTACGGTTATCGATTTCTGCATCAATCGGCACAAGCCGAATATTCATTGCATAATCGCTGGATATACTCTATTTTCTCTGAAGTGAACGGTGCCAATCAATAAACG